CATGATCTCTTGATTTCTTTTGACCATGGACACATGGAAAACAAACAAGAGCGACCCAATTCGGCAGTCCTCAGCTCTCCTCGAAGGTTCCCCTGCACTGCCACCTTCTCGCTGATCAAGTGCGGGCAGATCACAAAGGCTGCTGCTCGGTCTGGGATCCGGGAGAGTGCAAGCTGCAGTAGCTCCAAGGTTTCATTCAAGTCGGTGTTGGACAGTCGACCAAACTTTGTGAAGTCGAGCCACACCAAAAGCCCAGCAAATTTGTCCAACTTGCTCACGGAGTTCACGAACTGACAGGGTTCCAGGGCGGGCACATAGCAATTCAAAGCACCATCACCATCATGATCATCACCATCACCAAAAAATCAGAATCATCTCCATCAAGTTCCAGCAGCACCAAGGTTCGCGCGCCGCGGGGGGGTTCCACGGACACCCCCAACGGCGCGCGAACCCAACCATGGTAATCATCATATCATCATCATATCATCATCATATCATCATCATCATCATCATCATCACCATCATCATCATCATCATCATCTTCATCATCTTGAACTTGGTTTGAATTTGATTATGGGGAAGATACAATCAGAGAACAGATGATGGTTTAGTATTTGGGAAGCCTTGCCTCATCGGTCGCTGCTTCCAACTCACCAAGTCGTCCAGCGACATGCTTCATGTTCAGCGACATAAACCTCCGAATGAAGTTGGCCCCAATGGTGTTCTGCTGTTTCAAATGGGTTACCTTCTGGATCCTCACAGCCTTCTCATGGTTGACCATGGATTTGTAAAGCATCCCCAGCTGGGCACAGTCCCTGGTCAGCTTCAAGACATCCTGGCGAAATGCTGATTCCCTGGCATCTTTGTCCAACTTGCTGATTTCATCATCCACGGCTTGAAAGCTGACTTCGGGTGGAGGGGCCTTTTTGCAAACGTTCTCGGTCCACATTTGCAAGCAGTGGGGTTGGAAGTTGGAATCCTTCAGTGTCAGAAGCTCTTGCAGCTCATTGTTGTAGTCCCTACAGGGTGAAGTTTGGAAAAAAAAACACGTGTTTTTTTTGGGACAGACCTCAAGGCATAAATTCCGCAAATAAATTGTTTTTGTCAAACGGAACATGCCAGAGGCACCCATCCACAGCTCTCTTGGCAACCTTGTCGGTGGTGCCAGGCTCGAAGATCCCTTCACCATTGTGATCAGCTGCCAGGCTCATTTCGTGGAGTATGTGTTGCATGACACACATTCTCTCCTGAACGATGAGGCAATCACCAGATCCCCTTATTGGTTCTGACTGGTGTTCCTTCAATAGGCGATTGGAATATATTATACTGTAAAGGCTAGGAAAGCATCATCATCTTGAAATGACAGCACTTAGCTATGTTATAACTTCTTAAAACTTGAACCCCGCAACCTTTTTTTGAGTGGGAGAAGTTTTGGCATTAGCACATGTTCACAGCTAGTCCACTTGGAAAGTAGCAAAACACTAGCACTCACAGAAAATCAAGGATCACATTCACTGATCCAATCTGCAATCGACAGCCTGACGCTTGCAGCACGACCACCTCTGCGAACAGCCCGATCATGCAAAAACAGCACTCTTCGCATGAAAAGCACCTAGCCGGGGTATCAGCTGCAAAAAATAAAGAAACTCGCTATGAACCACTTGCTTTTGAACTCAATTAAAACTTTTGAATGTTGCGGGACATCCCGCCTGCTTTGCTTCCGTGACACTGAGAATTTGATGCCAAACTGCATTGCACCCACTGCTTGGAGCAGCTCCCACAAGCCATTGGGCATTGCTCAATGTGGCACTGCAGAAAGCTGCCAGGGTTTAAGGAATGAACGGCATCAAATACCTATAGCAGGGATTGTCATCCACCAGTTAGTTTGTAGGTTTTTTACATTAAAAAACGTAATAAGCAGTCTTCAGCAACAAAGGGGTGGCCATCTCTGGTATACTTTGCATCCTTATACCCTACACCATGGCACATCTCAGTGTAAGCTCAATGAAGCTATCCATATTTACATGATTACCATTGGCTTAGTCCTTCGTGCTACGGCATTTTCAATCTTTTGGGCCTTTTGACATGTCATGGTTTTTGGCTGATGAAAACACCCGTTGCCTGAGTCACTGAATCGGTGCTTGTGCAGGTGCTTCTCAATCATCTTCCAGGCCAGTTCGCAGACTCCAACCTGGCTGGGAGGATGATGGAAGGAATTGGCTTTGCTGATTTGCTCGGAAGTGGTGTTAAGAATTGGATTCACCCTGCCCCAAACTGCTACTGTACATGAACATGGGAACTCAATGGCCTTGAACCCATACATTTGGGACGCTGTGCCATCATCGATCTGCAGTCGCTGGGCAAAGTTGGCTGCCCCATAGCTGTTGAATTCACCCACTGCCATCATCCAAGCACTTCTCAGATCAAGGTCAGGGTCCTCCAAGTATCAGTTGCAGTTTTGTATAGTTTTGTCGAAATTTATCTTTAACATATCTTTACCCCTGCAGTGCCCAGTGTTAAATGGAAGACATCAGTGGTAGCAAAACTCAGTGAAAACAAGCCCTATGCCCCAATGTGATAAGCTGATGTTTGGGGTACTGTGCTAGGTGTCCCCTCCTCCAACGTCAGTTCTGTGGCCCTGTGTGTAAAGATGAGGCATTTCTGTAGCAGGTTCATCTTTTGCTTCTCGGATTGCTGCTCTGTCACCTGAATTCGACGATAGTTGATCACCGCAGCTGGGCATGCAGGCATGAGGACGTACTGCACCACCTTGACGCTCATCAAGAACCTGCAGGACTCTGGGGACATTCAGAAACCATGGTGATTGGGGCTACTGAAGTCGATTGGTTTGATTCAAAAAAAATGATAGAAAACAAAGGTGACGGTCTTGATCTTATACAAAGACGACGTTTCTGATCTCATACAAAGGCGACGGTTTCGACCAAACCATCACCTTGTGGAAGTTGGAAAAGTGACGGTTTTTAGTTTTATCAGCTCTAAATTTGCCAGGTGGTTTGTGGGGGGGCCCAACTAGGTTCTCCAGGGATGTCACAGGAAATTTCCCAGGAGAGTCAGTTGCGTCACCTTTTGTGCCTCCAAATTGAACATCAACATAAGGCGACGGTCCCAGTGGAACCATCACCTTTACATGGTCCTTTTACTGATGTTCTGACATGTTCCCCATCCCTCAAGATGGGTTGCGGGACATACATGGGAGGCTAAATGGCTATAGTTTCTTGAAAAGTAACCATATGTAAGCAATTTGCACCCCAAATCACCCAAACTACATCACCCAAGCTACCCTGGCCACTGGTACTTGAGGGTCTTGAAGGCGACGGTCCCACCCATACCGTCACCTTCTGAGGATGGCTTAATAAGATGCTACAAAGGCGACCCAACTCATACATGTAACCTACATGCAACCTACATGTAACCTACATGCAACCTACATGTAACCTATATGTAACCTACATGCAACCTACATGCAACCTACATGTAACCTACATGCAACCTACATGTAACCTACATGCAACTTACATGCAACCTACATGTAACCTACATGCAACCTACATGTAACCTACATGCAACCTACATGTAACCTACATGCAACTTACATGCAACCTACATGTAACCTACATGCAACCTACATGTAGCCTATATGTAACCTACATGCAACCTACATGTAGCCTATATGTAACCTACATGCAACCTTTTGAAAAACTCACCTGCCTCTTGAAGTCTTTCAGCTCTGGGTCCTCCATGTCTCGCATTTTGCAGTAGGTGTAGCAAATCCCGAACAGGATCACGGTAGCCCTTCCTACTCCTTTCGTTGGAACCAGTGAGGCAGGTTTCATTTCAAGGCCTAGTACGTTCTCCAAGGGTCTGACCTCGATTGGGGCACGGTGGGCTTCATAGCCCAGACACCACACATCCCCAGCTGTTCGCAGCCAGTCAGTCAGAAGGGGCCAGCCCTCGCTCGGCTTGTCCACTTCCAGGAGCAAGCAGCTAGCAGCCAGGGCCTGCATGTCCGCCTGATCCTTAGCTGAAAGATGCAACAGGGTGGCATGCACTGATACTTGATATTAAATAGTTTTTGGGAAATGCGGGGCGCTTGAAAATGGAATATAGCTGGGAGAAAAAAATTGGTTTGTTTTAGTTTGATGCTGGGGGTATTTGAATTAATTACCAATTTTCCCGGTGGCTTCCCCCTCTAACGAATTCCCCCAAAGAAAGAGAGGGTCGGGGGGTCTGTGTTTGGGTGTTTTTGGGCAATGGCAAGCCACGAAGAAAACTACCAACAAATTAATTTCTAGGAGCTGGCATCAAGCGAGTGCCAATGTCAGAGCAGTAGGGATCTTCCAGTATGCTGTCCAACCAGCAAGACAAAGGGGCAGCCATGGAGCCATCCCCCCAATTCTCCTCAAGCCATTGGACTGGATGCTCATCCTTCTCCAAGTCAAAGGACCTGGGTACACGATTTTTTGTTGCTTTTTGGGTGATGGAAGGTTTCAGTCTTGCCGGTGTGGCATTTCCCATCATGTATCTATGCATGGACGATATAACTTATATAACTTTGATTAACTGTGATGAACCTCAACATCTTCTTAGTTCCTGACTCTGCAGCTTGCATGATCTTCTTGCACCATGGACGTGACAACTTCTGAGCCTTTCCTCCATTTTTGAGGGCATCAGAGGGAGATCGCTTTGGCATGTTTGCCAGGGCCCACGAAAAACTGGAGCCCCCAAAAGCTATCCGGAGTGTGCAGCTATGCACAAGCATCCAATCGCAAAATTCTGAACTCAGGCAACAGAGCTAATGGTCAAGGTCATGGAGAGAAGCTGTTTGAATCTCAGCGCTGGCATCCACATGAATATGTTCAGCTGGTTGGACCCAACTCAACATAACATATTCATTTCCCACTCGGTCTAGTTGTAATTTTTCACCTCCAGCAGCACCTCAATGCTATGCCATTCCACGGCCACGCACATGTCATCGTGGCATGAATTTCAAATGACAAACCATAAAAGTGGTTGCCCTAATTCAAGCAATTAGGAGGTCCTAGGCTCCAACCCCAGAACGCATGCCAAAATGGCACACCCAACACAGGGTAAGCTCATTGCATTGCCAGCCATTTTGATGAGGCTCCGATCCTTCACCGAGTCGACCACTAGGCGAGGTGCGCCAGCTTTCTTGGCCTGACCCTCTGTGGTGGGAATGCAATGGCTGTTCAGCATCTCCAGTGGCGAAAGAAATCTGTGAAAGTCCTGCGGTGGCGGTCAAGATGCATTACTAAGGGGTACTTGAAGGTAATTGATGCTGTACAATGCCTTTGCAAGCAAATGGTTAAGTTGATTTTGTATTGGCACTGTTGAGTTTCATCAGTTTCAAGAAACAAAACCCAAAACACCTTGTGGTAAAGTTTTCCACTATTGGTGGTGAGAGTGGGCAAGGCCCCATCTGTCGTTTCTCCACGCCCACGATCGTTGCGAGCCATCTGGGCAAGGTCTGGAATTTTGTAGCGTAGACCCTGGTAGTCAGCCAGATTGGCTGCCTGACAGTGACATCAACTAAATGTGGCTTCACATCAATTAAAGACATAATATACACCTTGCTTGCTCCAATATAAAATCATGGGGGTCAGGGTCCCCTAGGTGATGTTCCCACCGGTGTTTAATATTTTTTGGAAGGGACGGGAAACCAATGGAAAATAAAGGACAACCCATGGAATATTAAGGAAAAGAAAGCTACCAGAACATGAAGGAAGACCATTAGAAAATGAAGGAGACTGAAATAAATATGGGAAAATTAGGCAAAAAATGGAAAATGAAGGGAAACAAATGGAACACGAAGGAAACCCGAGAAAACAATGCTTTTGGCTGGGTTGTGCTTCATCTCACCTTGATACCCAGGAGTCTTAACAGAAGATCATGAAGATCTGAATAGTGGTCAAACTAATGGAAAATGACAGAAAACCAATGGAAATTTAAGAAAACTTAAGGAAAACCATGGGAAAATGAAGAAACCCAAGGGAAAATAAAGGGGAGCACATCGAAAAGGAAGGAATCTTAACAGAAGATCGTGAAGATCTGAGATTGGTCAAACTAATGGAACATGACACAAAACCATGGAGAACAGAGAAAACCAATGGGCTGAAAACCATTTGCACAATGAAAGTGAAAGAAAACCATGAAAAAAGGAAAGAAAAACTATTGGAAAAAGAAAGGAACTATTGGAAAATGAAGCGGAAAAAACCATTAGAAAATGAAGGAAAACCAATGGAAAATGAAGCACAATGAATGGAACATGAAGGAAAACTCATGGAAAATAAGGAAGAAAGATTACTGGGACAACATTGGGCACCTGGGATTCTATTTCTGTTCTCCTTTTTAAATACTGGAAGATAAAGCTCCCTGACAGTTCTGGAACTCAACCGGGGGTATGGGTTTAGATTTTTTGTCCACTCCACATGGCTGGGTACTATGGGTTGTATTCAACAAGTATTTTGGCTTGGGGTATCTGACCCCTCTGCGGGACATTCCAGAGGTTTACATGGGTATACTCAGTGATCGGTTCACCTGTGAAAGCGGTGGAAGCTATGTCCGTCAGTTTTTGTTCATCCCATTCAATGCATAAAGCTTCTCATTTTGGAACTGGGTGATTCTGGATGGCTCCTCAACATGTTGATTTTTTTTGGAACAACCACACTAGGCACCATCCAAAGAAGTGTCTCTTGCAATTGAACATGATGGTTTGGGCTGTGCTTGCAGCCAGGTGTCTTCTGAGCGAGTCAATTTGCTGCGAGGGAGATCCATCCACCAGTAGTGTGAGGCTCCAAGCTCTACCTGGGATGTGATGGAATCCATGAACTCCTGAAGGGAAAATCCTTTGGCCCACTGCAGCTTTGATTTTCTCCATGCCAAGTAGTAGATCCTAGCCCTCGCTGCTGGCAATCCCAGAATACGAGGGTCAATTTTCATCGATTTCATATCAAAGCCCGCAGGAAGCCTGGACTTCACCACATCCTCCGAGTACTCTGGTACATTCTCCACGACCTGAATATCCATCCCCGGGGAAACATTTTCATACAATGCCTCGTGTGTTTGGAACTGCGCCGCGTCTGTTCGCAGGCGCTTTCCCATCATGCTGAAGCTCACGCATGGAGGTCCTGAGCTACAATCTCAGTCGATTACAACCCTGATTTCAACAACTGCAATGTTTTGGTGATGTTGCATAATGAATCCTCTGTAGCTGGTAGCGGTAGCATCTATTTTTAAGCTGAGGCTGTGTCCAGAAACATTCACAGCAAGTCCTTGGCAAGTGAAACACTGAACACTGAAACATGAGTTCAACATAGCTCACCTGTGTTGCCATCCAAGCTAATCACAAGTTTTGCATGTTTTCAACACCAAACATCAGCAGAGCCAAGAGTCGATCATGCTCTTTTGCTGGCATCAACGGACACAGCTTGTTGTGGGAAACGCAGTAGGCTTTCTTGTCCGCTCTGTTGGTGTGCAAGATGTCAGCAAAAATGCAGTGGGTGCCACCGTCTCCAACAAAAGTTGAATGGAGCACAGATCTGCACTCCAGATCAATCTCGCAACTTGAGGCCAGCACCACCTTGGGCCTGAGATCCACTGCTGAGGCCTCCTGGTGTCGGTGGAGGAAAACACACGCCGCTGTTTGTAGAGACAGTGCTGCCTCAGGGCAGGGCAAGGGACCAAGTGTATGGATTGACTCATATGCTCATATGCTCATATGGTAGTGTTGAAAGGATGGTCAAGCCATTGCATTTAAAAACTCAGAGGGTCTGATTGCAATCAAAACTGCATGGATTGTGATAAAACATGTGAAGTAAGGGCAGCACCATCTCAGCACATCCAACCCCAGAGAAGCATGTTGACAACTGCCACTTCCAGGAATGTAGCTTCGTGCACACAAACTTGGTACCATATTTGAGAGACGCTTTCCGGAGAAACAGTGATGCCCAAGCGAATGTCCCCTTGAAGGTCGTAAAGTTTCTGGGATGGTCACTGGAAGCTGCAGGGATGTTGGTCTTTGGGAAGTATCGCCTCTGGCCAAGGCAAACGAATAATGGTCCATGTTAATCATGTTACACATATAGTAGCACCATAATCACTAGTGCACCATGTGTTCATGATGATTTGATTGCTGTTTTGTCAAGAGAGAGTCATGCCTCTTCTTCTCAATGTTTTTCTTCACTTTCTTCTTGTCCCTGAGACACCTGCAAGATTGGTGAGCTGCTTTATTTGACAACTGAATGTCACAGCTTGGAACCCCTTCAGTAAAGTCATGACAACCAATGACAGCTAGTTTGATCACTGTGACGCCTGGAGGTCTTCTTGCTCTGCTTCGAGCCGTGGGCCCCAAGTTTCCGAACAGCTTCTTTCAAGCTTAGCATTTTCATTTGAAACTGAATTGAACCATGCTGGCGGCAATCAAGTCTTTGTGCATTGACATTGTAGCCAAGCTGACTAGTCGAGACAATCAGAACTTCCTGGTCAGAGTGGAAGGGCTCACACTATACAGACTTTTTCATCTTTTTCATCTTTGTCTATGCTGTTTCTTTGCACGTCTCATAAGACTTGTGTTGGTCAAACAACACTTCTGAAAGGAATGAATTGCATTTGGCAACAAATATATGTACAAAGACAAGCTTACTGCGGTTCTGCATCATCTCTGCCCGAGGAATTCCTTCGCCAGCCCTCTGCCTGAATGATTGTCAGGCTTGGTGCAGATGTTTGTACCCAAAGAAATCCATGTGGGTATGGGTGAGCACTTTCAACCCATAGAAGTTAGTTTAAAGTTTAAAGTAATTCTTCTGTCTACCGACGCCCATTTGAAGATGAAGCATGTTCAGTGTCTCAAGAAAAGTATTGAATGAAAGATGTTGCAAGCAAAAAATCAGAAAGTGCCTCTGAGGCAGAAATCAACCTTGATGTACCGCTGCCAGCCTGTAAACAGCACCCATATGAAGATAAGAGCAGTACATCATCATACATCATCATTGGCTCAAATAAATCACATCAAAGTGAAGGGGCCTCTGCCGAAGGAAGTGCAGCTGAATGCCACGAAGCCTGAACAAAGACAAACAGCGCAAATCCAAGTATTCATGAAAGAAACGCTATTGGTCAGGGACTCCCTGATGCAACCCTAAACTAACATTATGTGAGGGCACCTCCACAAAGCGAAATGCTGATGCACGGCGAAGTGCTGCTGGACGCCGGGAAACCTGTTGCTTATGACAAACTGTCATGGAATTTGGATGGAATGCCAAAACTTGCCAACATGAGCTTGGGAGACGACAGCACCCCAAACATGGAACAGCCCATGGTCTCTGCCAATTACCCCCTTTCCATTGGAATGGGTTTAAAACTTGTGGGTTATCTCAATACTACCCTCGAAGAAGTTTCTTATCTAAGCTTTCTGGAACCATTCGTGTGAAATTGTCGAGATTGGGGAAAATTACATAAGATAAGATGGGGGAAAACATGAAGGTGCCAGCAGCAAATATATGAATATGCAAGTGAACCATGGTTTTCTGTCAGGGCTAGATCTGGGTTTCAAAGGGCTCAAGAGATAATTGACAAACGATGCTACAAATGATCACAGCCAAAACCAAAACGCCCATTGATCCGGGCGTGCTGCATTGAAGCTGGCATGCAGGCCTCTGATGAAGCCACCCTCATGGATGAGGTTGAAGCATCCTGTCAGCAATGTTATGCAATTTCATCAGGAAAAAGCTATCACTGGAAACATTGAAATTTGTCCAGGGGCACTTCAGCAATGCCTCATTTTACAGGGTGGAAGTACATAACAAATCATGGACATGGAGGGCATGGAGGGGCCTCCGGGGAATCAATCACCAGCAGAGAAGTGTGAGCAGCCTGTGGCCAAACTAGAGCTCAGGAGTGAAATGGGGGCTGTGCGCCACTGCGATCTTAGACACTTGAAACTGGCACAACCCAATGAAATCTGTATGACCCACTGTAGATGATGGGCATCTGGAAGGCCTCTGGAAAGGTCTCTGGAACTACCTCGCGCAATTTTGCAATTCAGTTGTCAAACCAAGGAAGCAACTGCGCAAGCAGTACCGGAGAAACTACGCTGCACTACAAGGCCTCCCAAAGAGCGGATGCCCTAGCTGCAGCCTGTCAAAGCCAGTGATGGTTGAGAAACTACCAAAGATGGTGGGCAAAGGCAAACATTAATCAGG